CCGGAATGGTGAAAATGTGCGATTTCAATGCATTTTCGGCTTAAAGCGGCTCCCATTTGGCTATCGTTAATGAGATCATGAAACAAATGCACATACATATTTGTGACATGATGTACCTTGTGTGTGTGAAGTTTGAACTCGATCAATCCAAGCATGTCTCAGATACGGATCCAGAACTGAATTCTTTAAAACAAAATGGCCGCCAGTCGGCCATTTCGAACCCGATCCAAAAAAAAAAAGACGTGCATCAAGGTCCTATTATGTTTAATGTATGTACCAAATTTGAACAAAATCCGTCCATGCATAACTGAGATCCGGGTCCGGAATGGTGAAAATGTGCGATTTTGATGCAGTCGGCCATTTCGAACCCGATCCAAAAAAAAAATGACGTGCATCAAGGTCCTATTATGTTTAATGTATGTACCAAATTTGAACAAAATCCGTCCATGCATAACTGAGATCCGGGTCCGGAATGGTGAAAATGTGCGATTTTGATGCATTTTCGGCCTTAAAATGGCAGCTATTCGGCTATCGTTAATCGGATCATGAAAAAAATGCATGTGCACATGTCCCATATAATTTGTGATGTATGAGTGAAGTTTGAACTTAATCGGTCCATGCATGTTCGAGATACAGGTGATCACGGACGCATGGACGCACGGATGGACGGACGGACGCACACTGGGCAAAACATAAGACCCCGTTTTCGGACTGCGTCCGAACGGGGACTAATGAGTGAGTAATAATTCAATCATTATGGAATGAGTGAGCATTAACTCCATCAATATGGAATGAGTGAGCAATAACTCCGTCAATATGGAATGAGTAATAACTCAATCAATATGGAATGAGTGAGCATTAACTCCATCAATATGGAATGAGTGAGCAATAACTCCATCAATGTGGAGTGAGTGAGCAATAACTCGGTCACTATGGAATGAGTGAGTAATAACTCAATCAATATGGAATGAGTGAGCAATAACACCATCAATATGGAATGAGTGAGTAATAATTCAATCAATATGGAATGGGTGAGCAATAACTCCATCAATATGGAATGAGTGAGTGTCACA